AGACAGAATATTACATTTCCTTTATATGATGCAGTCATTAAAATTTTCACTGAAGCATACAATGTATCAAATACTTAAAAATAACAGCCTGATAATATTCTATGAGTTATGATCAGGATGCGATTTTTATAGGCAGAAATTATGTGTTTGAGATCCTAAATACTTATTCTATGAATAGACAATGTCTGTGTTTCTTTCATTAATTAAATTTAAAAACAAATCTACCACAATTCGTCAAATGTCACATCTCTGCCTGTGTCTTGTTGTAAAATGCTATGAGTTATGGTCTGATATTAGATGGTGAATTAGTAACTGTGGTGCTTAACATGGGAGCATGGTTAGTGTTCCTAGACAAGGCCGTTCACTCTCTATAATTAAGAGCTATATTTTTTTCAAGAAATTAAAGTTGATTTTCTAATAAATTTGGCCTAAAATAAAACATCAATGTAAATAGTTACATAAAACATGACAAACACAGGACATTGTATAGAGAGTCAGGGAAAACTAATATCACAGTTTTTTATAAAGGAGTTCAGACACTTAACACAGTGAATCAATCATAAATTTCACCTGACATATTTCATTAATATTAAGTTCATAGGCTAATTTAGAATTGTAACAACCAGTGTAAGTGCCCACATGCAACTCATAGCTTAGATCACAATGCTACACTGATTTCCTCCCTGTTACAAAAAAGATTAATCGTGCGTAGTGTCATGAATAAACAGAAGGCCTCCCAGGAGGTATTTAAGGAAATAACAAATTTCTCATCATTTCTGCTGAGTACCATTGGAGCATTGCCATTTATCTTAAAATCCCTACTGGGTTATCACGTTGAATTAATTTGTGAGAAGCAAATAACTACATTACAGTATTTAGAGATTATTTCATATTTAAGGACTGACTATGACATCAATAGAAAAATGAAATCCTTGGAATCCCAAATCTGTGAATGAAATTGACTTTGGTAATATATACGAAATCCAAATTTAGATCAGAAACACGTAATTTTCAGAATTCAATTTTCCAATAGAACTGTTAATAAAGATAAATCTTGAAATTTCAGAAAGAACAATTGGTTCTCCAAGAAATATAAACCATCAGATTTAAAATTTTCTCTGCAGTCAGGATTCTCTTTATCATTTTAGGATTTTTTAATGCCTGGTAGTGTTTTTAGCAGTAATAGTATTCTGTGGGAGTGACTCAAGGAGCGTTGCAAAGTGAGCTGAGAGAAGGATGTCAGGAAAAACGTGTAAGATAATCAATTCAGCAAATCTTTGTGTCGGCCACCTCAATTACCCAGAGAAGTATGTTGATTAGTATTATCTTTTTAGGATTAATTTGAAACAAAAGAGTTCTCTGAAAAATCGATAAATAATAAACAAACCATATTTCTAGCACAATATCATAGTTATACCCATGAGGAAATGCAAGCCTAGAGAGAAAAAGTAAATTTCCAGAATGTCACTCAGCACATGGTGTTTCTTTCAGGAGTCCAGTCCATGCTTCCTGATGGCCCAATCTGTTCATCTGTCTCTCTTCTCCCGGAATAAAAAGGACCCAGGTGTCCACAGTAAACAAAATTCTAGAATTGGCTATGTGTATTGGTGCATTCTTCAGATTTTTATGTTTGAAATAAGACTCGATTTACTGATAGGAAGAGAAGCTGAGGATGCCACAATAAGACTCGGCCACCTGAAAGATTTGACAAATGTCACATATTTTGTTGTTGTCGTAAATAAATTAAAGTGTATCCTTTTTTCAGATTTTCTTAGATTTTCTCCAATGAGCTTTTTCTAATTCAGGATCACATCCAGGATAAAACATGACATTTGGTCCTTATGTTTCCTTAGTGATCTCTTGGCTGTCACAGTTTCTCAGCTTTTTCTTGTTTTTTAAGACCTTGACGTTTTTGAGGAGTACTAATCAAGTGTTTTCTGAAATGTCCCTCAGTTGGGCTTTGTCTGATGTTTTTCTCATGATTAGACTTGACTAACAAGTTTTGGGGAGGAAAACCTGTGAGTGAATTGATGTTCTCATCACATCATAAGAAGAGTACATACTAGCAACATGAATTATCAGTGCTGATGGCAACCTTGATCACCTGGCTGAGGGAATGTTTGTCAGGTTTCTCCACCATAAAATTACCCCCTTTCCTTTCTATATTATACTTTTTGGAAAGAAGTCACTATATGCAATTCACACACAACGAATGGAGTGTCATGATCCACCTGCTTGAGGGCAGACTATCTGCATAAATTATTTGAAATTTTCTGCCTGTGACATTTCACTGTTTTCTCTCTTCATAATTTATTCAATCATTTATTTATATCAGTATGTTATCATGGAAACACTTCATATTGGGATAATAATTCAACTCTAAAATTCTACTTTATTTTGTTGCTCAAATTATTCTGGCTTTGGCCATTGGAAACACTTTCAGTTGGCTTCTGTGTTATTTTGACATACCCCATCATTGCTTTTCTTTCTTTCTTTTTCTGTCTCTTTCTTTTCTTTCATTCTCTCTTTCTTTCTGTTCTTTCTTCCTTCTTCCCTTCCTCCCTACCTACCTTCCTTTCTTCTTTCCTTCTTTTCTTCTTTGCTTCATCTCTTTTTTTCTTATGATTTCCTTACTTTCAGACACAATAATATGCTCATTCTGTAAATCTCCAGCCTAGTCCTAGAATCAGTCAAACTTAAAAAAGCCCCAGTTCCTTACATTCAAAAATATTATTAGAATTTAATATCTTACCAGCAGATGACTTTGTTGCTAGTGAGATATCCCCAAGCTTCTAGACCTTATTAGTTAGCAGAGTAAGGGAATATATATTTGTATATTAACTCATGTGTATATATTTATCTATAACTATTTCTCTTTAAAACCCTCAGTATCTACATAATGCTGAACAAGAGTTCATGCTGATGTCTCTGACACTGATCCATTATCACACGGATCATTCTGGCTTCGTCACTTTGCTTTGCTTTAACTTCCTACACAGTTAGAAACCTGGTCCCACCATCTACCACCTATTTACTCAGTTTTTTAATTCCAGTATATGTGTGTAGTCGTTCCAGAATTCTTAAACCACATCCCTATGAGAAAAAGATTTATAACTGAAATACAGTGCGACATACCATCATTTTTGCCTTTAGTCCTACATATTCCACCATTTCCAATGTTACTTAGGTCAGCACCTTTCACGCCACCGATCCAAAGAAATCATTTCATACATTTTATTACACTAGATTGTTTTAGCACTTTCTGCATTCCATTCTGGCTTGTCCTACCTCTTAAATGATTTATTTCAACATTTGCATTCATTAAGATTTATACTTCGTCCCATAAATCTCTATGGGTATTTAAAAAATATATAGTGTCATGTATCCACCATTACCTTACCATACACAACAGCTTCACTACAGGAAAATAAATCCCTTGTGCTTCACCTATTTAACCCTTCATTTCACCACTGAGTCCTTGGCAACCACTGATCTGTTTACCATCTCTATAATTTTTCATTTTATATAATGTTGCACAAATAGAATATTGTAGTCTTTTCCGACTAGTTTCTTTCACTTAGCAACATTCATTGAAGATTCATCAGTGTCTTTCTATGGCTTAATAGCTCACTGCCTTTTATTGCTGAATTGTATTCCATTGTACAGATGTATCACAATTTGTTTATCTATTCACCTATTGAAAGATATTTCATTGCTTTCAGTGTTTTCCATTATGAACATAACTGCAATTAAACACAATTTTATATTGAGTAAATCAAATCAGTTATGTAAATATCTAGAATATGGTTGTGGGGCAGACATCAGGATCTATAGCTTTGCTGCTAGAAATGGGCTGGTTTGATCTGGAGTGGAGCTTGAAAAAACCTATGCCCATGGGTGTTTTCAAAACAATTGCGATGTCAGTGGATTTCTCAGCAAGGTGAAGTTATAGATAGTGTGAGGCCACAATACTGGTTTGTATAACCAACAGTGTAGCAAACCAGCCATAGATTTAATAGAGTGATCATGCTCTGTATCATCAGCTATTAAAGAAATGAAAACTAAAACCATAGTATGGTGCCACTACATACCTACTAGAGTGGCTAATCAAAATGACTGATGTTGCCCGGCCCGGTGGCTCAGCAGGTAAGTTCGCATGTTCTGCTTTGGTGGCCTGGGGTTCGCCGGTTTGGATCCCGGGTGTGGACATGGCACTGCTTGGCAAGCCATGCTGTGGTAGGCATCCCACATATAAAGTAGAGGAAGATGGGCACGGATGTTAGCTCAGGGCCAGTCTTCCTCAGCAAAAAGAGGAGGATTGGCAGCAGATGTTAGCTCAGGGTTAATCTTCCTCAAAAAAAAGAATGACTGATGATATTTATACTAAGTGTTATACCCAGTGGGGATGTGAAGAAACTGGAACATTTATACTGAGTGTTTTACCATTCTGGTTCCACTTGACGTCCCAAATGAAATTGAGTATATTTTTTAGGATATTCTTCATGTACCAGGAAGATGACTAATCTAGGGTTTTAAACATTTTTAGTAAATTAATTTCAAAGAAGGATTATTGTTCTGCTTTGGAAATGCCCAAGATGGTTACATGCACTACATAAACAGTACTCCATTAATTTAATATTACATTGGTTAACTCAGTTCTCATTTGATACATCTGAGATATAATATGGTCAACTCTATATATTCAAAGATGTACAGTAGATTTTAGTGCACACTCACTGATCAAAATGCTATCAGAAAACAGAAAAAAATTATAAATCAATTAAAGCATTCCTCCAATAACGTAAAGAAATTTCACAAACATGGCCCATTGAACGTCTAATAGTATACCATTCAGTACATTTATTATACACACTAAAGAAGACTGATACTTAGAACAATGAGAAAGAAAAACTTTTACAGAATCCACGAAGATTTTCAATGAAATAATACCCAGTAGGAGAGCCTATTCAATAATCACACTCTGTATCTTTCATAAAAATGTTGTATAAATTATATAAATTGAAATAAAAATATTTTCAATTATATTTTGGTTAACATTCAGAATATAAGTTCATTGGTAATGTATTTTTGTAATTCAAATGATATTAAGAAAGTGTTAGGGAGTTTCGTTTTAAATATAGCTGTCAATTTAATTTTGCTAACTTAGCTTTAGTAAGTTTTTGGTCAACCGCAACTACAGTTTTTCAAGGTTCATTGACGAAACACATCCAGGAACCAAAAAGGAAGCCAAATAGGAGAAATGGACTTACTTTTCTGACCCATATGTTGTTGGTCTGTTTTAACTTATTTAATTTTTTAACTTATATCTTTCCTGAATCTTGGAGATATTTCAATCTAGCTACCTGCAAACTCCTTGGCAAAGTTAGTAAATAATCCTTTGCTTCTGTATTAACCTGATAACTTCTAGAGTTTCCGTTTTTTTTTAATTCACTGGTTCCTGATCCTAGCCCCTTTTAATTCACAGGATTAAGTACTTGTAAAGAAAGGAGGTCAGCCACCTACCCTTTTGCTTTCTCTGCTGTAATGACAGCCTATCTTGATCTTGTCTTCATTTAACTATAGAGATCTAAATTCACATTAATTTAAAAGAACAGCATATGTTTGGCAGAAATCTCCAAAGGGCAGCCTTCACATCCTTATTCCGCAGGCTGTAGATCATGGGATTCAGCATTGGAATCACCACTGTGTAAAACACGGAAGCCATTTTATCAGTATCCATTGAATGGTTAGTTGGAGGCTGCACGTACATGAAGAGCATTGTTCCATAGAAAACCGTTACTGCCATCATATGTGAAGCACATGTGGAAAAGGCTTTTTTCCTTCCTTCTGATGAGTGTATCCTTAGAATGGACAAAACAATGTTGAAATAAGATACAAGAACTATAATCATGGAAAAAACCAAATCTGTAGCTGCAGATATAAAAACTACTGTTTCTGGAAAGTAAGTATCAGAGCAGGACAATGCTAACAAAGGGACGGTATCACAGAAATAATGATTGATGACATTGCAAGAGCAATAAGACATGGAGAATATAGAAGATGAAGCCAGAAGAGCTATGAAAAAGCTATAGAGGTAAGTGAGGGATACCAGCAGAAGGCAGACCTGCCGAGATACCACCACCATGTAGAGGAGGGGATTGCAGATGGCCACATAGCGGTCATAGGCCATCACAGCTAACATGAAGACCTCAGCTACAATGAAAACCAAGAAGACTCCCAGTTGGATGGCACATTCATAGTAGAAGATGGTTTTCTTCTTTACCAAAAAATTGATCAGCATTTTTGGGGCTATGACAGTAGAATTGCCAAGATTGATGATAGCCAAATGTCGGAGGAAAAAATACATGGGGGTCTGAAGTCGAGAGTCAACACTGGTGAGAGTGATGATGCTCAGATTTCCTGCCACAGTCAGTCCATAGATGACCAGGAAAACAAAGAAGAGTGGAATCTGGAGTTCTGGACGGTCGGAGACACCTGTGAGAATAAACTCAGTGACCCGGGTGAAATTTCCAGGAGCCATGTAAGAGTTTGGAAATTCATCTGTTTGGAGAAAGAAAGGAGAAGTGGTTACAAACGTTAAGGGACTCTTTTCTAGGACTGCCATTTGATGGCAAGGGCAAGTCATTGGGTGAGAATTCCTGCAATCCTTTATTAACCTAATCCAGTTATTAAACTCAAGGTTCTAGGTTTTATAAATACAGCTTGCAATCATTTGGGAGATGGAAAAAACAAAGATGGTCAGTTAAATGGATGGTTCACCATCATGCATATTTTGAGGACTTACTACCTCACAATTTTATTAAATTATGCGTATCTTATTAGCTTGCAAACAATAGAAGTCATGATTCATGTCTTATGTCTCTTGCATTGAGTGTGAGAAAGGCTTGAGGAATTGCATGTGCCATATAATTCAATGTTGTTTTGTGATTTCTTATTCTGAGATTTCTTGCTTTCTCTCAAGAATAGATGATCTAGCCACAATCCTGCTCCATTTTCTTTCTTCAATCTTTCTATAACTTCTAATCAATGTGCATTCAACTTGCACATACTACCAACCATATATGTTAACTGTTTTTTCCCATTTTTAACTTTATTAGCACAGACAAAAATATATGAATACACGTCTTCAGCTGTATTTTTCTGTTTACTGATTCTCTTTTCAACTTCTAAAAAATGATATATGTGAAAATGTTATCATTTTTTGCATCTCCATCATGCACTATGCTCTAGTGTATTCAACTTACTTTTGCTTCCATCTCCTAACTCTATTTTATTGCCCCACAAGTTGATGCAATTCATCATATTCTTTCCACTGTTTATTTATTTTCAACTAGTATTTTTATTTATATAATTTTATAACATTATTTTAAAAATATATAAAATATATCTGGCCTTAAGTTTTACTTGGTCTTTTCTTGATAATTTTCACATTTTGATATTTTTCATTATTGCCATAATGTTAAATGTCCTTATTTTATACTTTCCATGATAATTCCCTTGCATATATTTTCCAGATAATCAGTAAGCTGTTATACTATGAGTGAGTATTTTTCTAGATGTTAGTTAGAAGGATGGTCACCTGCTTCTAGCTAAACCAATTACGTCCCTTTCCAATCACAAGTGATGTTTCCCAAGGTGGGCACCTTGCCCAAAAAGTCCTGTCATTGTCTCTTGTCTGAAGATTTGGACTTCACTGCCAGAGAGTCAAGACTATATCAGCATTTAACATAAGAAATACCTTTTAACAAAAATTTAAGTATACATACACACAAAATAATAACGATGATAGTAATAATAATAATAAACAAAGAGGCAAAAGGAAACTTTTGAAAATGAAGGAAATGATTATAGCCTAAACCATGGTGATGGTTTTAGGGATGTAGGCTTATCTCCAAACTCATCGAGTTTTGTACATTAAACAAGTACAGCTTTTTGTTTGTCAATCTTAACTCAATAAAGTGATTTTTTTTTAAGATTATGTATCATGGATGCCTGAATTGTAAAATCCCAGAGTTACTCACATTATCTCTCCTAAAAAAGGCTATAACAGAAAGAAAAATAGAAAATTATTCTACAGTGAGAAAAAAGAATGAAGTAACAATGCAAAAGGAATTAGAGAAATAAGACCAAAATATCTTCCAACATTGTTGAGTAAATTATATCAGTTTGTTTCTGACACCAGACATCATTCTTTCTCTGTTTCTTTGAATCATCCTCTTATTTACTTATTTACCAAGTATTTGTTGATTTCCTATTTGAGCCAGACAACGCTCAAGCTTCAGATAAGTTACTTGTTCCTCAATTCATGGGCCTTCTTGTTTGATAATAGAAGAGAAAAAAGGCTGATAACAGAACATATAGACAGAGGATTATAAATTGTAGTAAGTACAATAAGAAAATTCAACAAAAACATGCATCAGTATAACCTGGGAGAATTATTTCACAAATCATGTCAAGGCAAGGCCTTTCTGAGAGGGTGACATGTGAACTGAAAACTAAACAAGCCATGGAACCAGCTATTTAATCAATCACAGGAAGAACCCTCCAAGGTTCCAGGCAGAAGGGTATTTCTTGAAAATGCTGCTGTGCGGTAGAAAAGAAGTTAGTTTTTTTATTTGTTTTTGAGAGGAAACTTACTGGAGACCAGTGTGACTGGATAATAATGAGAAAGTGGAGAATTACTAGAATTAGAAAATGTAGGTCAAAATAAGTATTTGGTTTTTATTTTAAGTGAATTGTAAGGTATTGATAAGTTTTAAGGTGGGGGAACATAATCAGCTTTAAGTTCTAAAAAGCTTTCTCTTGCTGTTATGAAGATGATGAATTATAGGATTTAAAGTATAGAAGTTATGAGTGGAAATAAAAACAAATGAGTCAAACAGTTGGTTGAGGATTCCCAGTATAAGATAATGATAACTTGGGCCAAATTGGAGAAGCTGGACATACAGAGAAGGTACACTGAACAGCTGGAACCAGAAACAAGATGATATCTTAAATAATTCATGTTATGAATTACGTGAGAGGGATGTGAGAGAATGACAGTTGGGGGTCGAACAAGAAAGACTTCAGTGACGTTTTTGCAATTGGGTCAATGACCATAACATTTTTTGCATATTAGAGGATATGATTTAAGATGGACTGATCAAAGTGAAATTTTGAACAAGTTAAATTTTCAGAGTGCTAATGGGACATTTAAGCAATCATTTAGGCAGCTAATGTTTACGGCTGGAGCACATAGGTGTGGTTAGGTTTACAAAGCTAAGAAACCTCAACCTAGATGATGATACCATATTGTTTTTCATCTATTTCAAGATCTTTTAACTTTGTTAAACAAACGTTCCTAATATATTCCTCAATCTATCTGCATTATTGTCCTCTGAGAGACAACCCTCTGTTTTGAGATTGTAGCTTACCTATCTCCAAACACTACACTGAAAGATATCATTTCTGTGTCCCCTCCTATGCATTTTTCATCTTGTCTTCTCTTTGCAGTTTTTAATATTTTGTCTGCAGCATTTAGTCTCTCGATTGCCTCCCTTGGCAAACATTTCAACTATCAGCCAAAACAATGTTTCCAAATTATATTAGCTCCTGTATTTCTGCTGAAATCTAGAGTGCTGCTTGTTATACACTTTATTTTAAACTTGAAATAATAAATTTTAAAAAGCAACCAGTTTAAATCACAAAAATGTATCCATCCTGTAATTTTCTTTCAAAGCTCCATATGTTGTTTTGTGCCGATTTCCATGAATACTTTCCTGTCCTAAGCATCCTCCTCTTCTACTTCCTCAGGTCAAGATTTCATTGACATTGTTATTGACTTTTGTATCCTTCTTGGTCTCTATGTTATGATTGTCTCACATTAGCTGGCAGGCAAATGAAAGCCATTAAATCTTTTTGAATAATTAAGACATGTAATCTCAGCTATCTTTTAGGATAATTGAAATATGCTTTAGCCTCATTTTCCATGCATTCCACAATGAGTTCCACATCTCCTTTCTAGTCATAATACCTTCCCAGGCATACATTACATATATATTTTCATCTCTGACCATCTGTATCTTTACTCATATTGACTCTTCTGAGATTACTCCACTTTTTTGTGAGGTGGCATATTATCTCAAAGAAGTCTAGCCACCATTTGTAGCACTGGCCCCATGTGATCAGAAACTGGAAATGAGCATAGTATCAAATGAGGATGAAAAACTTGATTTTGGAGTATTTAAGCATGCTATTCCTGATACTTCTCTAGGCATTTACAATCTTCTTTTGAATACTAATGAGTAAAGGGAGGGTACAGAGATAGGTGAATTGTCTATAAATTAGCACCAATGTTTTATGGCTCATAAGTAATAATAATAGCATTTAAAAGTGTGTACATAGATAGCTTCCATGTACTTTTTTATTATAAAATGATACGACAAAATATAAAGAAAATAAATTTATTTAGGAACATCCTATTTTAGGTCAGTTGAAGTAAGTAAAATCTAGGTAATCAACATTGTCTTCGGGGTTTTATTTCCTCCTAAAGAATGTTATAGAGATTCTGTTCTATCAAACCAAGAATCTACAGGTCTGCATTTCTTAAAGACTTGATCCTATTTATGCAGTGACTTTCTTCAAAGAGAAGTCTTTCTTTTTGAGATCTTCTCAACTAAATGTTGGTGGACTATTTTACTGTAAGGTAGATGGTTTATCTCAATGTGTTTCATTATTGCATTGATTACTTCTCATGCTTCTCTACATACACTTGCATGTATGCTTTCAGAGTGAATGGAAAAATTTCCTGAGAAAATTTGTGATCTAGAGTTATATTCTCAAAAAGGAGCATCATTTGGAGTCTGGGTAGTTGTTTGTCCAGGTTTCTTTCACAGGATTTCCTATGAAACATTTTGTTTTCATTTTAGGTAATATTGTGGGAGAAAACTACGATATGAACAATCTCAGTGAGCAAAAGTCCATTATTTCAGTAGTGATATAATTTATTTAAGTACGTAAGGCACAAAGATGGCAGTTCTAATTTGGAAATATAAAAGCTGCATCATAATTAACATTCTGTGTTCTCCCAAACAGTTGTAAATCTTGAAAACAAACCTTACATTAAACATTGGATTATTTGATTATATATAATATCCAGTGCCTTCTAAAATAAAAGTGTAGTGGCTCATTTTAAGGTATAGTTTCAGATTTTTTAAAGGCCATTATGCAAAAATAAGATAAGTGATTCCTACCCACCTATAGTGGAGAATCTGTTTCAGGTTCTTAGTGAGACTCTCCACGTTGCTGTGGCAATGGGTGTTGATGGGACTTTATAAACCTTTAAGTTCCAAACTCTGAAGCACAGGTGATTTAACGATCAACAAATTGCCTTTTACATCCTTGGGGATGATGCCACTTGGGGATCCTTCCTTAACAAGCTGTTCCTCTGGAAGTTCAACCAGACACCCTGTGAGTCTTTGTTGCATCAGCCTACATTATTGAAGTGAATTCAACTTCATTACAGCTAAGGGGCACAATAATTAAATTGTGACTCTCAAAGTAACTCATTTGCATTCATAGATTCATTATTGCAAATTTCAATATTGAAGAGTTGGAAACCAAAGCCCTAACATTGAAACTGAAACAAACTCTATTGATAAATAGTAATTTTATCATGCCACTGTCCTTTTCTTTCACTTTTACTTCAAAGAATACAATTAGCATAGTCGTTATTTCAAGGAATTTGGTAAAGTGGATATTGAAATGAGGAGGGGTTCTCTGAAAAACAATCATTAGGTAAGAAAAAAATTATTTTATTCTTTTCTTTATGATTATATTTCAG